CAAACCTAGCAACAAAAGATAAAGCCTTGTTACCAAAATCGTGATCTCAATAATAAAATGTAGGTGCTCTGTCCTCTGATATATCGTACAGCTCGCGCCCGCCGCGGGACGCCGCTTTTTCCATTTTGTGAGGCCTTGACGGTTGTGGAATGAGCGCCACCACTACAAGCCACCGTCCTATCTGAGCACAACCAGTTCCCGGTATCAATGATGTGTTTTTAGAACGGGGCTTTCTTTCAAATGCTTGGGAGAAAACGCACGTTCCTTGACAAGCACCGACGGTCCACGCTAAGCAACGCGGTTCTGGGTAATCGTGCGTGCGGGTCAGTTTCTTCGTCCTCGGGGCTCTTTGGTTGTTTTGGGATGGAAATGCGATGCAGAGCGTCACAAAATATCAGCAGTTCACTTCAGGCTCCCGTTTCCACCCGAGTCCTCGTCCCGCTTGGACTGAATTCGCCGGAGACGTGTTTGTCTTCCGGGTGGCGGCTCGTAAATAAAGACGCCCGACGTCGAGTACAAAAATAAGTGTGTTTAAACTGAAAGAAAAAGAAGTTAAAGGCGTTTTTCCTTTGAGGTTCTTGCGTTTGAAGCGTTTCGCGATGCTTTGGCTTAAATAAAAACCAGTTCAACTAGTACGTGAACTATGAATCAGTGAGAGTTTGTTGGGTTCATCTGTATTGATTATAAATCAGCGCGACATAGTCAACATGGAAAAAAAGGGTTTTCATGTGATTTACAGGGTGAAGAAAACGCAAACCAGTGTTTTTCCACTAAAGACATGAACGGACACCCAGTGAGTTCAGCCTGGCCAAACCTCTGTTGTCCTGCTGCAATAGTGTTGAAATTCCCAAATAAATGATTGTTCTAATAATCCAACTCAATCAAGGTGACGGGTGAATAAAAAGAAACAATCCTTTTCCTTTCTGCACTCCGATCCGATTGATTTCTCAGCACAACAGCTGGTTTCTGGTGATCACATCTGGCTGCTGGATTGTTTGAGGGGGCTTTGCTCTGGATGAACACAAAGGCTGATTACGACCAACTGTACTCGATAGTCTGAGGCTTCAAATCAACATTTATCATTTTGGCATTTGACATCAACATTAAAATGTCACATTCCAGAGGTGGTTGAGTAGAATTGTTTCCACTGCCAATAACTCGCAGAGCTTTGTCACGACCAAAAGTCAACATTTATTGAAAAAGATTAATGTTATCATTTCACAAACTGCAAAAACAAGAAACAGGCCACATTGGCTTATTTCAATAAAATTGAGCACATTGATCCAGGGTTTTTTTTGTTTGTTTTTTAAGGTTGCAACAACAATAAAAGCTAAAGCAATGACATTTGGTACAGCCCTAAATTTACGCCGCGATAGATTTCGCTGCTGCAGAATTTTAATTTGTATAAGCGATCCATAATAATAACAATCATTCATCAGAAGCTAAATTCTGGATCTGTTTTCCCCCATCTCGTTATTCTCCAACCTTTTTTTCCTTCTCGTATTCCTATTTGTAGTCTCTGTGTGACCTCACCTCCCATTGTGTCCTTCCCTCCTCCCCGCCGACCCAAACCCGCCCCCAGGAGCCCGGCCCGGCCAAGGTGACGGTGACCAGCAGCGCCGGAGGAGGCCTCCCGTGCCTCCCCGGCGCCGAGCGCGTGCCGATGAGCCGCTCCTCCCTGTGGCAGGAGGAGCACCGCTGGAGCCGGGCGGCCATCCCCTGCAGCCGCAGCGCCTCCTGCGTCAGCCAGCTGAGCCAGAGCCGGCCGGACGCCCGCGTCGCCGCTCAAGACGGTAACGGCGCGCCGCACGCGCTCCTCCTGTCCGACGCCGAAAAGCATTTTGTCAAACACAGATATGCGACGTGGGCGTTTTTTTTAAAAAAAGTTTCTTGTCGGTGTCCTTGCGCCAGATGGCGGCACCGTGAGCGCCGGACGCAAGGCGCGAGTGGAGAGCGGTTACTTCTCCCTGGAGAAAACCAAGTCGGAACCTCCCCCGCAACACCAGCCGCCCCAGCATCTGCCCCTGTCCTCCTCGGCGTCTTCCTCCTCTTTGGGAGCACTCAGTCCCAGGTACAACTCTGAGTCCGAATCCCGAGCTTCCCCTTGTCAACCCTCCCAAGATCCTTTCCCTCCTCCAGGTGCACTGGTTTCCCCGAGCTCCTCCTCCTCCTCCACCATCAGCTCCTCCCAGAGCTCGCTGGATTCCGAACCCAGCGGGCCTCCACCTGCCTGGGAGGCACGCGATGGTGGCGGTGGTGGTGGTGGTGGTGGTGGAGGAGGGATTTCTAGTGTCAGTGGTGGTGGGGGAGGAGGCAGAGGGGGCCGGCCGGGCTCTGAGTACGCGGCTCTGTCCGACGTGCCGCGGGCTCGCCGGCTCAGTCACCGCGAGGCCTTCCGCTCTGACAAAAAGCGCCAGGAGCTGCGGGCGCGGACCCGGAGTCCCGGCCGGGAGGAGGTGGCCCGGCTGTTTGGGGAGGAGCGCAGGTGAGCGGCCCCTGTGCACGCGTCGCGCCCGGCGACCCCACACGCAGATTCACGCGCGCTCGGAAATCCTGATGCGTGCGTGCTTGAACGTCAGCGCTTGTAGTTTCTGGCACCACCCTGTGGCTGCTGTCCTTCAGCCCCCGGTAGCTACCAGTGGTCAGTCCTTAGTATGTGGGGGATAAAATGCATGTTCTAGCGCCGATATCTACTGATTTTTCCCTCTTGCTCCTTATTTTAGCCGAGTTTTTTTAGTCATTTCAATCTTTTCCCAGGGGGATACTGATCAGAGCTTCCCCACTCCCACCGCCCCCCCCTCCTCTCTGAATGCTGATTCATGCTTTCTGTCATTTCATCTCTGCGTTGCCAGGGAGACCGCACAGCGAAACACGGTTTCATGAACACTTGATTTAATGTGTGTGTTGTGCATACTGTAATGGGTTGGTGGTGCTGATGCTGCGTTGACCTGCAGTTAGATCTTTCTTTTTTTCTTGTGCAGACACACACACACACACACACACACACACAGGTAACACTGTGCTGCTACTTCAATTTGTTTAATCCACCATCCTCATTTTCTGTTTCCTCTGAAGTTTAATCTCATTATCTAACGCCTTCTTTTTATCCGTGATGTATCTCTGGGTTGTTCTCTTTGGGGATATAACTTTTACACCTTTCACATTGTTGTTCCGTGAGAGTCTCTTTGAGTCTAGAATGAAATCCAGTCAAGCTTCCTATATATATTTTGTAAATGTTTTGCGCTCATGGCTGCAGTTAAAATGCGTATGTATCCATAAGGGAACAACAAGGGAAATTGATTTTCGGAAAACTTGGTTTTGATTTTACGTTTCTTCTGCCACAATATTGCATATTCATGTGCTGCATTTCAAAGAATTCTTTTTTGTTCTATGCTGAAAAATACTGTTTGAAACAATGATTGAAATATTTAACCGGTTGTCAGACGTGACTTGTGGAACCCAATGTGCACGAGAACTTGTCTAAAGCGGATCCCCTGCTCCGTCCGTTAGGCGTTCTCAGATCATTGGCCGATTTGAGGAGGGTCCGCCTGAGGAGCGCATGGACACGAGTACCTCCAGCGAGCCCTGCGCTGACACGCCGCTCACCCAGAGACAGGGACGCAGCGAGAGGCGCTACCTGGCTAACAAGCATGTATGTTACTCTCCTTTCTTAAACCTCAACAGAGGGATCTAAAAAGCGGTGAACGACCCCCTGAATGCTGTGTGTGTTATGTGACATCAATCGGGGATCGATCCTCCGCACACGGATTTAATCATATTGTATCTGCAGGAGATTTCGCTGGATGCAGGGAAGGACCGCTCGGGTCCTGATGTGTCCGGCTCCACTTATGCTAATTTGAGAAGAGCCAAGTCGCTGGATCGCAGAGTCACCGAGTCGGCGATGACTGTGAGTGCAAATAATATTATAGAAAAGGGCGCGATCCGTTTACCAGCTTCTCACCCTTTAAAAAAAGAAAAAGCCAAACGTGTTGAATGAAGCGCTGGGTCCTCAGTCTGCTCGGGCTGCGGGGGGGACGGGGACGGGGGGGGACGGGGGGGGTCCGGTCAGTGTGTGTTTCGGTCTCTGTGGGCGAGCTGCAGCTGCCAGTAACCCCGCCCCCTCACACACACACACACACACACACTTATGCACGTACCCCTTCCCGCCTCCGCTACTGATGACTATAAATAGCCAGCGCAGAAGCGGCCGTGTATACGTCCGGGGGGGGAAAGACGGCAGGTAGCCGTCAGAATGACTCTCTGCCACGCGCTGACGCCTCACCTGACGAAGCTCAACAGGAACAAGGTACCGTCGAGGGAGCAGCAGCGGCGGGGGGGTGCGGTGGGGGGCGCAGGTCTTGAACGATTGACTCTGGGGTCTATAAACAGGCTTGAGCAGTTTGTGTTTCACAGCGACGGTCCAGCCGGACTGTTTGCTGGAGCCAAATGTTTTCACTTGTACTTATTGGTGTGACTTCAATGTAAACAAATGCACGTAGATGCAGCAGTTGCGCCGGGTGGTGTCAATTTTTACATTGTGACTGCGTCACATCAACGGCGAGATGATGACGATTTCTAATGTAGCGACTGATTAGCTCAAAGTAACTGTTTGCTTTGTCCGTTTAATAATTGACGTTTAAACCTCTAAAAACGAATGTGTCTTAATTGCAGCCGGATCTGTTGAACTTCAAGAAGGGATGGATGACGAAGCTGTACGACGATGGAATGGTAGTTAACTTTCATCAGTGGGACTAAAGGGCATCGGTTTACACTGAATACGATTACATCGCAGTTTATTGAAGCCCAGTGAAATGCAATTAACAGGTTCTTTTTGTTTGTTGCGCCTTAGTGGAAGAAACACTGGTTTGTCCTCACGGATCAGAGTCTGAGGTACTACAAGGACTCGATAGCCGAGGAGGTAACACTTGTCTTCAGCAGACTGTGTTGTTTTAACTGTAAAATTGAAATGACGAGACAATTTTCACAGATATTTATATATATATTTTTTTATAGGCATCAGAACTGGATGGTGAGATTGACCTCTCCACGTGTTATGATGTCAAGGAGTTCCCCGTCCAGAGGAACTATGGCTTCCAAATCCTGGTGAGTGTTGCTCGTCCATGCCATCGGTTTGTCCTGTGAGGAATGAACTCATTGTCGACACACTACACGTTGCCGTCTGCTGACCGTCTATAAACAGCCTTTTGACGCAATGTGGCGCATCTCCAGGTATCAGGTTTTGTCTTTCTGAAAGAACCGTTTGTCTGCAATGACGGATGTCTTTGGACTTGTCATCTCCCCCCCCTGAGGGGCCGACATCACGGCGGTCTAAATCCGCTCCCGCTTGTCTCCCTGAAGCCGTTTGTCCTTCCTCCTGCACAACGTGTGCGTCCAAAACACGCACATCCGTGTATTTGCAGGACATGGGAGAAGTTCTATGGATGCCGGAGAGAATCCTATGACGGAATGCTTGTGTTGTGTAATAACAATCATAATAACAACGTTTACCTAGCTGATTTCTCCAGAGGAGGCCAGAAATAGAGAAGTCGAGGGGATCGTTGTCTCTTTGGCTGAGAACAACGCGGCTTTGGTGTCGTGAAATGAGTAACTCCAGTATTAATGTCCCCGGGCTGCGTGGTCCGACTGCAAGGGGCTCTGTCATGCAGGCAAAGCAGTGGAATATATATAGATATATATTATATATATCTATATATCTCAGTGTAGTGTGAATGCGTGATATATCACTAGGCCACTTAGTGCAGCGCACCTCTGTTTAAGAGTCTAAGGCGTTAACAAGACGGGTCTCAACTACGTGTAATTGTAAACTGCTTCCACCTGTTTTAAAGACGGTGCCCATTTTTGCATATACAGAATTAGAAGATGATGTTAGAGGTAATGGATCAGGATCCGTCGTGTGTAAAGTGATGTTCTCTAACTACACCCTGCAGGGTCTGCTGCACTGGATCTTTAGGGAGAAAACGCATCAAATGAAGGATTTAAAAGTGTGTGTTGTTTTTTTAATTTTCTTTCCTTGTTGGGAAACTTTATTATTTCTCTGTGTGAAAGAGAAGCAGCAATAATGGCGCACAGCATGTAGCAAATCGCACACATTACACACTATTTAATATTTAAGTTGCACATAACTCTGCTAATAGCAAAACGGCGCGAGGCCAACAATGTTTGTCTTCATTTCAGTCTCTATTCTCCTGCGTTTATAAAACTGGTATGCTTTTCAAAACTGTGGAAGTATTCGTGGAGTTAGTAGTATTTTCCTTTCTGTGTCCAGTGTAAGGAGGAAGCGTGCACCCTGTCGGCCATGACCTCTGGAATCCGTCGCAACTGGATCCAGGCCATCATGAAGAACGTGCGACCCACCATCGCTCCAGATGTCACCCGGTAATCCCCAGAGAGGATCAACACCTAATCCCCCTGCAGATGTGACGGCGGCGTTTCTCACTTATTTCACTTTAATTCATCTCTCCTCCTCACCCTCTCCTCCCCTTCTTTCTCTTCCTCCCTCGCCCCCCCCGGTATTTTCCACCTGCTTCCAGGAAAAACATCTCTCTGAAACTTTCCGTTCTGAAGCCCAGGTTGGAGTGCTTGTGTGTTGAACCCCCCCCCCCCTTCGTTGCCCCTGAACAGTGATGTAGTTGCTCAGCGATGTCGCCTCAGCGTGCTTGTTGTCCCTGCCTATGTCATGTGTTGAGTAATGTCCCCCTGTCAGTTGTGCTATTGTGGAGACACACACACACACACACTCATGAACACACTAGAACAAGCTACCGACCGGCTGCAGATCACCAGCGGGGAGGATTTTATTCATCGATTATGTCACTGTGGTCGTCCAGCAACTTTTGATCACAGAAGAAGAAGAAGAAGATCCCAACTGCAGCACTACGGAGACGGGAGCTGAGACATAAAGGACCGTCGGGTCCGACGCTCTGCCGGCGTGTCCCTCAGAGGGCGCGTGTGATATTTTTGGTATTTCTGCAAAGCGCCTCACAGACAGATCCCCCCGTTCTCATTCCTGAGCTCTGTTCCTTCTCATTCCCCCCTTACTCGTATCCCCTGACACACACACACACACACACACACACACACACACACACACACACACACACACGGTAAAAATAGATCATTCCGTCAGGTCTCTTTTTTTATAATACTCTGCCCCTCAACACTACGAAGGGCCAATCGTTCGCATTCTTTACGCTGAGCTGCTGCTGTATACAAATAGCAACTACGGCGAGCATTTCTCGCCACGCTAATCCTCCGACCATCGAGGTTAACCGGCATGAACTCGCCCAACGCGTCGTCCCATGTAAGCGTTTCCGTGTCGGTGCTTTGACCTGATGCTTTCAGCGCACAACGCGATGATGCTGCTCCGTCCCGCTAACGAATGTGTTCGTCCGGCAAAGCTTGTCGCAATATTGTTGACGTCGATGTATCAGCGCTCCGTCAAAATCGCCTGTCCCTTTTTTGTGTCTTCTGTCCCCTCAGGTCCCTCGCCGATGAGAAGGCGTTGGCCCATGTGACGTCGGAGCCGTGTCCACAGACCGCCGCCGCCGAGCCGAGCCCCAGTCCAGAGGCCCCCGAGTCGCACGCCCGCCGGCAGCCGGGCAGCGACGCCTCCTCCCCGTCCTTCGAGCCCCGGAAAAGCAGAGTTCGTGAGCGCAGGCGAGAGGGTCGCTCGAAGACCTTTGACTGGTCCGAGTTCAAAGCGGAGCGGACGGAGAGGCCGCCGAAGGACCGGGCGGACACCGTCGACCTCAGCTCGTCCTTCTCCCCGGCCTCCTCTTACTGCTCTCCTTCCTCTTCGCCTTCGTCGTTGGCGTCCTCTCCCGTCTCCGCCTCCTCCCTCCCAGCCTCTTCTGCGTCGGCGCTGGAAGCGGAAACGGAGAGGGGGCCCAGTGCAGCCGGTGCGACCCACAGGCCAAATAGTGTTACCGTCACCGTGACCTCCGCGCTGAACACGCCGCCGCCGCCGCCGATGCGAGGATGCAAAGAGCACGCAAAGATGGAGGTGGACCGTCCCGCCGGTGAAGACCAGCGGGACGCCGGAACCTCGGTGGTGCGAGAAGAGATCGAGCAGCGATGGCATCAGGTGGAGAGGACGCCGCTGAGGGAAGAGAAGCAAGTGGCGATCAACACGGCTCCGGGAAACTCTGACCGGCTGCCGGCGCACGAGCTCGCCGCCCTGCTGGACAAAGAGGTGCGTTCGCCCGGCGTGGCGGGTGCGCATATATATCGGTGAGCGTCTTGTGCCATTTGTTCACCGTTTCTTCTCTGTCTTGTCTCCTCTGTGCAGTTGGGACAGAAGCAGCAGGAGCTGGACAGGCTGCAGAGGCAAAATGATGTTTTGAAGGAGCAGTTGGGAGATGCTCTAGGGAAGGAGCAAAGTGCCAGAGACGGCTATGTGCTGCAGGTACACCGCTCACCGCTCACCGCGCAGGATTTAATTTAACAACCACATGCACCAAAATATCTTTCCAACACGCGTTCCAATTTTTTAAAAAGATCTATGTTTCACAAAAGCATAAAATAAGTCCACATGTGATGATTGTACTTTGCGGGTCTACTTATGGTGGATCAGATTCACGTGTAAACTCTACTAACAGGTGTGGGGGCTTATTCTCTGATGGTGCATGGTTGCGGTGTTCTCGGCATGATTTGTCACTAACTGTGTTTACGGAGTTTCACATCTCCTGGGACGATAATTGTTTCGATCTAATTCGCTTAAGGTAAGAAACCTGATTGAGAAACCTTGCGCTGTGCTTTTTCTCTCGTGTGTGCTTCGTCTGTGTGTCCTCTGCCGGCCTGATCCGTGCCTGCTCTTTGCTGTCTCAGGATGGCGTCCTCTTTGGGTTGTGCGCTTATACAGGCCACTTATCACTTTTGTCATTTTTGTATCCCATCATGTAAATGTTTGTCTATTTTCTTTTATTTAATCCCTATATTAGTGTACCACCAAATTTTTTTATTTTTTATTTTTTCTCATTTCTTTCCAAGTCACGTCTGAAAAAAGCACAGTGGAAGCTTGTAGAGAAAGCGAGATTGATATGAGGAAGGGGGTAAAAAACGTATTTCCCCCCCCGGTTAAGCCCGAGATGTGGTTCTCCGTACACGGTCGGGTGGAAGTGAGGCGATATCATTAACGAAACTGTCTCGTCAATCTTTTTCAAGAACGCGACGCCGTCCTCCTCGTCGGCGCACCGAGCGCCGTGGCAATGCCTGCGCGGCCTAAATCAAGATTTGCAGGGCGAGCTGGAGACACAGAAGCACAAGCAGGACCTCGCTCAGCAGCAAATCCGAACGCTGAAGAGGAGCTACACGGAAGCCCAGGACGCTGTGGACCACCACGAGGCCGGCGTTCAGGCGCTGCGGTCCAAACTGGCGTCCGCGATGGCGGAGATCTCGGCCAGTGAACAGGCCGTGGCCCGGATGCGCAACGAGCTCAAGCTGGAGCAGAGGCGCTCCCGGGAGCAGGAAGAGGAGCACGGCCGCGGCGAGGCCACCCTGCGAGCCCAGCTGAAGGACAGCGAAGACCGGCTGCGTGACGTGGAGGCCAGCCTCCTGGAGAGAAACCAGGCCCTGAGGCACCTGGAGCACCAGCAGGCCCTGCAGCGAGACCACGCCAGGGAGCTCCACCGGCTGCAGGAGAGGCTGCAGGAGGTCATCGGGCGGCTGAGTGCCACCGAAGAGGCTCACGCGCTGAAAGAGGAGCGCCTGAGGAGGGAGCAGCACGGCATGCGGGAGAGCCACGAAAGCGAGCGGCGGATTCTGTGCGGGAGATTGGCCGAGGCTGAAGCGGCGCAGGCGGAGACGAAGAACCGGCTGCTGGAGGCCGAGCAGCAGGTGGAGGCCCTGTTGAGGGGGAGGCAGGCGGGCTCCGGGGGGCAGGAGGTGCCGAAATTGCGAGAAGAGCTGGCCCAGAAGGCCGACGCGGCGGAGTCACTGAGGGAGAGCGTGCGCAGGCTGGAGGAGGAGAAGGGCCACCTCACCTGCCGCTGTCAGGAGCTTCTCAACCAGATCGCAGAAGCAGACCGAGAGGTCAGTAAGCTTCGCAGCCGCCTGGAGACGGAAGAGGCCGACTACTGCACGCTGGAGCACTCGTATGAGAGGGCCACCCAAGAGTTTCAGAAAATAAGCCAGGTCCTGAGGGAAAAAGAGGACGAGATCCGGCAGACCAAGGAGACGTACGAGCGGCTGGTGGAACGTAAGGAAGAGGACTTGAAAGAGGCCCTCGTTAAAATGGCTGCGCTCGGCTGCAGCTTGGAGGAAACGGAACACAGGCTGCAAGCAAAGGAGGAGCTTCTTTGTCGGCTGAGTCCAAGTATCTTAGAGACGGTTGAGCCTTGTGGTGCTGAGAAAGACCTGAAAGCCAAGCTCGTGGTCGCAAAGGACCGCATAGCCGAGCTGGAGCAGCATCTCAATGCCCTGCAGCTGGGATACGCCGACCTGCGCGCGGAAAAGCCCCAAATCCCGGAGCAGAGCAAGAAGTCGAGGCTTAAAACGTCGGCCTCCTTATCAGCCGACAGAGAGCTCTCCCTCCCCTTTGACAATGCGTCAAACACGGATAACTTCCCCGACGATAAAGAGTCTCAAGCCAAGAGACCCAGGATCCGCTTTTCCAGCATTCAGGGCCAGAAATACCTGAACCTAGAGGGCCTGGACGCCAGCCATTTCAGCGAAGACCTCGGTCCACGCGAGGGACAGACGTCCTCTGAAACCGCCTCGCATCAGAGTAGCGACCCGGAGAAGTTCCTCTCCATCATACGTTCCCTGGAGGCTAAACTGCTCGCCACCGAGAATAAACTCCGCGACCTCACGCGGCGTCTGGAGGAGCAGCGCCGCACCCGAGCAGAGGACGCTCCAGAGCCCGAATCGGCGCGCGGGAGTGGTAGCGCTGCCGACGAGCGGTATGCCAGCGCCCTGCTGTGCGTGGAGAACAGCAGGGAGAAAGTCGGCGCGATCCTCGGCGGCGCCGGTGGCGCCGAGTCGCAGCTGCACTCGTTGTCGGCGATCGAGAGGGATTTGTTCAGCGCGTCGCTGTACATGCGACAAGGACATGAGACATGGGGACAGCGATCCCCCCCTGAGCGTCAAACCCCCGAGGCTCTAGATGGGGAAGCTCTGCGGCTCTTTGCCCAAACGCTGTCGCTTGAGGCGGTCGTCTTGAACAAGATGGCTTCGTTACTACAGACGTCCAAGTCCGACGTCTTGCATTCTCTCGCTGACGTGTGGGAGGACGTAGGGGACATTAAAAGGGCGGACAAAGGTTGCTTGGCTGTAGTTTATGCCGATGCCTTGACCACAAAGTTGATGTTAGAGAGTTCCTTCTGTAAAGAATTGGAAAAAGCCAAGACGGGCGACGCTGAATCCAGAGCGAGCGTTTCCGCCGACGTAGATGTCGATGCTGCAGTTGTCTTTAACACCGTCGTGAAAGCGGAGCTGGCCTACTCTATTCACGAGCTCAAAGTTTGCTACGAGGATGAATTAAAAACACTAAAAGGGGAGTTGACGCTGGCCCACGACAACCTGCATCACAGGGAAGAGGCTCTGAAGGCGATTATTGAGGCTTCCAAAAGTCCCGATTTGAAAAATGTAATAAAAGAAATCAAAAACGAGTTTGGGTTCAGCAGACCGAGATTAGCCGACGTCACCCCCCCCGAACTGGCCCCCTACGTGGAGCACATTGAGATGGAGGAGGCCAGAGGCTCGGCCGAGGAAATCGTAGACCGGCACCTGGCGGCCGAAACGGCAGAAACTCGCGGCGCCGAATCGATCGGATCGCTGCGCAGCGCGCACGAGCGCCTGGCCGACGAGCTACAAAGACAAGCGGCCGTCCTCCACGCGTGTGCCCAGGAGATAGAGCGGGGCGGAACCCGCCCGGGCCCGCGCGAAATGCTCCACGGCGCTCTAGCCCAGCAGAGCTCGCGCCCTTTCACGGGCGCCTCTCTCTGCATGCGCGACGCCCTGGTCCAGGCCCAAGTGGCGTACGTGGCGTGCAGGCTGCGGGCCCTGCACCAAGAAGACCTGGGCCGCTGCCGGCGGGCGGGCCGCGACATGAGCGCGCTCGTCCAGCAGCACGCCGGCGACGTCGCCGCCATCCACGAGCGATACCAGGCGGCCCTCGAGGGCGAGCGGCAGAACTTCGCGCGGACCGCGGCGGCTCTGCAGAAGGAGAACCAGGCGCTGAAGAGCGAGATCAGCAAGCGCGTGAACCAGCTCTCCCAGCAGCAGAAGCAACTGGCTCTCCTGGAGGGCCGCTATAAGAAGGAGGCCGAGGAGCTGAGGCGACGGCACGCGCAGGAGCTGAGCCGAGCGGAGAAGGGCCGCGCCTCCGCCGAGCTGGCCCTCGTGGAGACGACCTCGGACAGTCGGCGCGAGCTGGAGGTCCTGCTGGCGGACGCGGGCGCCGCGGAGGAGCGGCACGAGGGTCGCGTGGGGGAACTGGAGGAGCGGTTTGAACAGAGGATCTGTGAGCTCCAGCGCGTCCACGAGCGGGAGATGGAAAAGTTGAGTTCACAATACATGCGAGACATTCAAGGCGTCCAAAGGGACCAGGAGAAGATAAAGGAGCCTCGGGTTCCCCGCTCGTGCCCCGGAGACGAGGCCGCCACGCCGATGGAAGAGGAGGAGCAGGGGAGCGGGGAGGACGCGGAGCTGGACTCCATGTTGGTTCTGAAGGGCCGCGTCCGGGAGCTGGAGGCTCAGATGAGCACCATGAGGGACGAACTGGAGAACAAGCACCTAGAAGGAGATGTGGCCAGCCTGAGAGAGAAATACCAGAGAGACTTTGAGAGTCTTAAGGTTTTTGCTCTTTCATTTTTACTTCAGTGATATTTTTAAATAAGTGAGTTGAGTCCTAGACGAATAGTACAGTAGCTTAACCAAAAGGTGCTTTTCTGTAGAGAGGTTGGAGGTGGGAAATGGTGTAATTTTAAGTTATTTGTAAATTCATGAAACTTTCAACCTAGATTACATCAGTTGGTTTACATACACACATATATTTAGATATAATAAGTGAGTCAAATATACCATCCTTTTCTTGTAAAACAGTCTATCTAGGTGATGGATTGGCAAATATTGTGGCTCCTGGGCGGTGCTTCCTCTGACAAGAACGACCCTTTAGTATTATTAACTACGGATGTGGCACAGACACGACTTCCCCCATTTACAAACGTACCATTTCCCACAATCAATGATAGAAATAAATGATGCAGCTCTCGTTCTAACATAAAACGCTTGCATGGCTTCTATCACTAATTTTGCATGAACACCCCGTAGCCTTGTGAACTATTAATGGAATCTGCGCTGAATCTGTGTTCACAAGTAGGATTGTAGGCTGTAAATTCATAAAGTACATGATGTGATAACGGACTGTTGCCTTTTCCTCCCCAAGGCCACGTGTGAACGCGGCTTCGCCGCAATGGAGGACACGCACCAGAAGGTGGTGCACGACCTCCAGAGGCAGCACCAGAGGGAGATTTCCCAACTCATGGAAGAACGAGAGAGGCTGCTGGCCGAGGAGACGGCCGCCACAATCGCCGGTGAAGACAATCGTTCTAGCATCCGTTATGTCTGTGCTTTGAAACAAGAACCCGGAGCGCTGTAACTAAACCTTGGTGTTTCTATCTTGAATGCAGCTATTGAAGCGATGAAGAACGCACACAGGGAGGAACTGGAGAAGACCCACCGCTCCCAACGGAGTGGATTGAACTCTGACATTGATGAACTTCGCTTGCAATACGAGTACGTTTTGCCTCAAATTCTGACGACTGAATCATTTAAGTTGTTTTTTTCGGGCCATTTTGTCTTTTTTTTTTGTCGGCCTCCCTTGTCACACGATGGGAACGACGCGCTCATGTTGAGGCGGGTTTGGTGACGATGTGACTTCCCAGGGAGGAGCTGCAGTCCATCCACAGAGAGCTGGAGGTGCTGTCGGAGCAGTATTCCCAGAAGTGCTTGGAGAACGCCCACCTGGCCCAGGCGCTGGAGGCCGAGCGGCAGGCGCTCAGGCAGTGCCAGCGGGAGAACCAGGAGCTCAACGCTCACAACCAGGTGCGCTCACACGCACCAGACCATATAAAAACACGCTGACTTGTGTTAACCCGGTTAAAAAACGGAAAATTTGGTTCCGTTCAACAGGAGCTAAACAACCGACTGACCACAGAGATCTCTCGGATGCGCTCCTGTTTCAGTGGGGAAACGGCGCTGTCGCCTCTTACTCAGGGCAGCGACGTGTACGAGCTGGAGGTATGTGCAAACACACGCACGCACACGCACACGCATGGGATCTGGTCTGTGTGCTTATGAGAGTTTCTCCCCGTGTCGCAGGTGTTGCTTCGAATTAAGGAGTCCGAGATCCAGTATCTCAAGCAAGAAATCCACTCTTTAAAAGACGAGCTGCAGTCCGCCCTGCGGGTAAGAACGACCGCTGTTTGGTATCGTGAAGCAATCCACGGAAGGTACGTTCTCTACGTCTTTTGCCCGCGCTTCATTCATTCGACCCAACAGGACAAGAAATATGCCACGGACAAATACAAGGGCATCTACACGGAGCTGAGCATCGTGAAGGCAAAGGCCGACTGCGACATCGGCAAGCTGAAGGAGAAGCTGCTCGTCGCCACTGAAGCTTTAGGCGAGAGGGCTGTGGACGGAGCGGTCCCGTCTGGATACGGTAAACGGGAATGTTCAATCGCTACCGTTGACCCCAAAGGGAAGCGAGGCCTGTCGGGAGTAATGACGACTGGAATACACATTGTTTATAGTGTTGCTACAGACGTTGCCTCAGGTCTTTAGCGGCCGAGCACTGAAATAAGTCCGATCATAATCTATTTTGGTTCTTTAGCTAATGGTAATAGCGTTCGTTCAATGTGTTTTTAGATATCATGAAATCAAAAAGTAATCCAGATTTCCTGACAAATGAACGATCAACAACCTCCAAGCAATCAAGAGGCATAAGGTCAAAGGTGAGTCTCAAGTTAAATAAAATAGTTCTTCAGTTGATGTTTTTGTCGCCGTGGAAACGCGGCCCGCTGTCGGTTGACAGCCGGTCGGCTCATCTTTGCTGGACGTCTCTCGCCCCGTAAGTTTGTCATCTTGTCTGTTTCTTCCGTCAGTCCGTCACTGAACAGGTTCTTAAGGGGACAGCCGACACCCCCATTTTAGAAGGCGTTTGGGGGGAAGAGGGGGGGGGGTTGGGATGCATTTCTCCCCCCACTCACCCTGCCCCCCGACCCCCGAGACGCGCTGTAGGTATGAGCATGAGCAAAGCATGCCCTTAATACCCTCGCATGATTTCCCTCCACCCCGCAACCTGCACCGCCAGGACCCATTGTAGGTTCCGCCCCCCCCCCCCCCCTTTTGGCTGAAGGCCACGGATGTTTGCAGCGGCGGCTCTCGCACGCTGATGATTAGAAAAGCTTTTTCTGGCTGCAGAGTAAATAGGAAGCGAGCGTCAGTGAGCTCAGCTGTGCAGGAATGACAACAAGGGAAACGGCGCCTAAAGAAACAAACCACACGGTTTTTATTTGTTTGGATGCTGTAAAAAGTGTGAGAACAATGGCCGGTCTTCAAGCAAACATCATCTTACTCATATTTAGTAGTTAATGATGTCGTTGGCAAATTTTCCATAAGCCGACAGGCAGAACTCTGCAATAATGCTTTGTGTTATTTTATAGTATATTAGTGTTGCTCATTAGTGGACAAATGAACTACTTCAGAAACGAGTGCTTTTCTTTTTTCTTGCAACATTATTTTTCTCTGTTAATGTAAAAAGCATTTTTGTATTTTTCCTCTTTTGTCTGTTTTGTGAGTTTTTAATTTATTTGTGCCGCATGTCCACATTCCAGCATAACACACCTTTCTCCTGTCGAAATGGGGTCACAACTATCTTTCTTCTCTGCCCACGTTCACCCTTTTATTATGAATAAACCATTAACTACGTTCTCCTTTTCCTTTTAACAGAGCCTGAAAGAGGGACTAACCGTGCAGGAGCGTATGAAGCTTTTTGAGGCAAAAGATTCCAAAAAGATTTGATTATTAAGAATTCAACGTTTTATTTCTCCTTGCTGACCTCGTTTTTTTGGTCAGAGTGCTTCAGCTTCTATTGGACTATTATTGGAATTGGAAATACATTTATCAAGATCGGTTATAAACTTGGACGTGCTGCTTCCACGCCTCCCGTGAACTACCGCCAGCTTTTTGTCGTTTCTTCCTTTTCATTAATTGAGAAATGTTTTATTGAATCAATCCTGTAGGTTTCTTTAAAGACAAATCCACAGATGTGTAATCTATCCAATAGATGTGTCAAATAAGCTGCGAGAGGGATACGTGACAGCAATTTATACTGATCTTCCCAGGATGCCAAAATAGACAGCAATACACACTATGAAAAATATATATTTCCCAATATTAAGTATCTGCTGTATTTTATTATTGTTGCAGTTTCTAAATCTTATCCTTTTAATGTGTGTATTGTCCTGTTGTACATAACTACGGGATATGTGGAAGAGTATGGCTTGCTATTGATCGTTGGCTTGCTATTGATCGTTGGGGTATCTGCTGTACAATTACTATGGTTTGGTTGATAGTGGAAACAATGTGAGCGTTTTCTAAATTGGAGTCTTGTGTGAAGGATGGGGGGGTAATGAGGGGATGATGGGGGGGGGGGGGGGTGCACTTATATCTTGACTACTTGAGGAAGTTTTTTTTTTTTTTTATATTCGTCTCAAATTGGTGTAGTGACTTTAAGTCAATTATTGCAGTGCAACCAAACATGACTTCTGTCAAATTCAGTGAGCAACTGTGACTTGTTAGTGATGCTGGATTCTTTTTTTTTTCCTCAAGTTTCGCAGTTTCTTAAAACCTACATTTGCGTTTGCTCGGTGTGGTGTGAGAATTTCCTTTAAAAAAAAAAAAAAAAACTATTTAGGACTTTGCATGATTCTATCATTTGAACTGCGGATTGATGGCGTTGCATCGGTTTAGTACTTGTAGTGTGAAGCTCTTTAACACTAACCAGCTTTGCTTTGCGCCTCCTACTGTTTTGTGTTGAGATGGAAACGTTTTACCGTAAGCATCCGTCTTCAAGCGCTCGGCCCGATCCCCGACTTCTCCCTGAAATCAAGTTGTGCCTCAACGGAGTGAAGAATATAAGCATCCATGAAACCTGTGCAGCTAAGGAAACACACTGTATAGTATTCAAACCACATTGTGTTTGTGTGTGTGTGCGTGCGTGTGTGTGTGAGTGTGCATGCCACGCAAGACTTCTGAGTTTTGTTTTAAACTTGTACCTTGCTCATTAGCTCCATACGAAATATATATGAATATTTTTTATTTTCATTTGAATGTATAATGTCAAATAAATGAAGTGTTTGGAAATCTTGTAATACTTCTTCTTTTTATTCAGCACATGCCATTTGAACGAAATTTCACAAACCACAGAAATGTGTTTACACTCGTGTGTGTGTGTGTGTGTGTGTGTGTGTGTGTGTGTGTGTGCGCGCGCGCATTTTTCACATATAGACAAAGACACATCCACACTGTTGAAGTGTGTGACAACCTTCTGCATTTGAGTAACACTGTTGGTAATTAAAGCTGAAGCTCTAGCTATAAACTGCAAAAATGTGTCCCTCGCTAACCACAAGTCACTCAAAGTAATTTCCAACCGTTTTAACAATCCATTAATTGCTCGCTCGATGTTTCTATGCCAACTCGTGTTCTCCACCTCTCCCGCCCTCCTGGCCGTCCCTTAAGGCATCGATGAGTCGGACCCAGAAGGAGTCCTGTTCCTGTGGCGTCTCGGGCCACAGCAAGTAGGTCTTCTTGTGTACGATCTTGCGTAGCCGCGTGTAGGGCGTCAGGCAGCGCTCGGGTATCTCCTCCAGGAACACCAGCAGCAGAACGTCGCTGCCGTCGTACAGGAGCCTCAGACTGGCCAGCTGGAACTCCACGGAGCACCACTCGCTCTGCAGGAAGTGACGAGTCACCACGCAGATGGTGTGGCGGGAGCTGTGAATGGCGGCCTCGATGTTCTCCAGCACGGCGGCGCCGGGCCGGAAGTCCCTGTGGTGGAGGCACAGCCTGAGGCCCGCGTCGCCCTCGCCGGGCCTCTCCAGATTGGGCACCAGCTGTTCCATCACCCAGGCCTCGTCCTTGGAGCAGTAGGAGATGAACGCGTCGTACTGGAACTTGGCCGCCGCCCTCCTCCGTCCGCGCAGTTTGGCCCGGAGGACGAGCAGCAGGTAGCGCAGGGTCGGGCCTTGCGTGTGCCACGCCAGACACGCGCACACGAACATCACGTCCGCCACGGAGCAGGCGACGAAGAGAGCGAAGGCCGCCTCTTCGTAGGAGCAGGCCCGGTCTTCGAACTGCCACAGGTAGCGAGATCTCCTGGCGTTGTCACACCGCAGGCTGTACAGGTAGGACACCTGGAGGGATTTAAGGAGGGTTATCTCCGTTGATTCACAACATCCTTCTCACAGTGTGCCCGGCGGTTACCTGGGTTTGGGTGTTGCGGATGGCCCAGGTCTTGAACCAGGCATTATCACAGGTGCAGGAAAGTGGGTTGTCCGTAATGTCAAAAACACGCAATCTGGAAACACATGCAGCTTTTGTGTCATAGTTGGACCGAACCCCCCCGCCCTTCCCTCCGCCCTCATCCCCAGTAGCTCTTCTACCTTGGGAGGGCATCCAGCATGAGCTTGTCCACAGTGTGCAGGTGGTTGGACATGGTTTGGAGGACCTCCAGCCTGTTATCCGGTGGCAACAGGTCAGCAGGCAGAGCGTCGAGGTCTATTCTGTGAAGAGTCAGCTTCTTCAGCTTCTTCAGAGGGGACAAAACTGCGCTCAGGTTGGTCCTTTTCATAACCACGCTATCTATAAACAGTTTCCTTAAATTGACCAGAGGAGCAAGGGCATCGGGGTGGAAGTCGAGCTGGATGCTGTGCCCGATGGTAAACGAGGTCAGGTTACGTTGACCTTGGAAGAAATGCGGCCCAATGGTACCGATGCCTTGACCTCCAGGACCCTGGTAGTTCATCTCCAGATACTCCACAGTGGACATGGAAGAGACACCGATAAAAAGATGAACAGATTTATGCATAAATGCATCACTATCTTTAATAATTGAAAAAAGAAATCCATACCTCCAGAGAAGTAAGGTCTATGAAAGGAGCTTCACGGGAGTTGAAATGCAGCCGGTTGTTGTACAGAACAAATTTCCTCAAATTGATCAGGCCGGACAAAATGTTTGGCGTCAGCCTCTTGATCCGATTCCCACTTAAATCCAGGTACCTAATGAAAAGATGACTGTTAAATAAATCAACACCAACAACAATTGAGAAAAGATGAGCATATTGCGATTATAACATACAAAAGCATCGTCAGGTCATCGAAGGTGCCGACCTCGATGAAATCTATAATGTTCAAGCTGAGGTTGAGCTTCGTTAGCCTCCGCAGCCCGCTGAAGGGCTTTCCGGTGATGTATTTCAGCAGGTTGAACTGCATGTAGAGCTGCTCGAGTCGGCTCAGGCCACTGAACACCTCGGGTGGCAACTCGGTGATTTCGTTCTTCACCAGAGACAGGCGAGTCAGGCTCTTCAGAGGGACGAACCAGTTGGGGTCAATGTCGCTGATTTTGCTGCTGTCGAAGCCTAAGAACGTGAGGCGGCTCAGCCCTTCGAACGCGTCGCTGTGAATGTCCAGCTTATTTCGATTCAGCTGCAGGGTCGTCAGGCCTCGGTAACCGCCGAACGTGGTGGGAGATATCTGCTTTAACCCGCAGTTGGTGAGGTAAAGTCTGCTCGTATTACCCCGACCCAGAGACACCGAGGCCACGTTCCCGAGGTCCGCATCCTCAACGATAACCATGGGCGGAGTGTCGCAGTCCAAGAGGGTGTAGTTATCCCGAGGTAACCTGGATCCTTTCAAGTCCACCTGTATCGAATGAAACGAGCGCAATGGTCATTTAAAACTCAACGAGTAATTTTTTTTGCTGAAGCAACAGGAGCCACGTACCTCGAGCCTCTCAAGCTGGTCCATTCCGCCTAACAACGCACAGATCGTCAGCGGGGATTTCTCCACAGACAAAGAGAACGCCACCCAAGAGAGGTTCCTCTTCGTCTCCGCCGAGAGTCCCGCCAGTACTTCTGCTCTCACCGCCTGGCACAGCAGACTCTTCAGCCTCGGGTTGGAGGCAAAAACATCCGCCCGCAGCTCCAGTTGGGAGTTGTTGGACAGCCGGATGTACTCCAGCGCGGGGAAACAGCTCACGTTCACCCTCTGGACGGCGTTTGCGTAAAGGTCGAGCCACGAGAGGGTGGAGGATCCGGCAGAGTCGTCGCAGCTGAAGGCCTTCAGCTTGTTCAGGGACAGGTTGACCTTATCAATGGCCGGGAGGGACTCAAAGATCCTCGGGGAGAACGTCGCCAGCGCGTTGTGGGTCAGAAGCAGGGTTTTCAGCCCGGCGAGTCCATCCAAGGCGTCGGAATGGATGTGTGAGATGTTGTTGCAGGTGAGGTTGAGCCATTCCAGGACTCTCAGGCCACTGAACTCGCCCCCTTTCAGAGAGACCAGCCGGTTCTGGCTGAGGTCCAGTTGTTTGAGCCCAGGAATCCGACTGAACGATCCAGGCGGGACGATCCTGATCTTGTTCTTTGACAGGTTGATGTTTGTCAGGTTGTCTGGCATCCCAGCGACCACGTCGGTGAGGTTGGCGATGTCCCTGTTGAAGCACCACATGACGTACGACTGGGGGAAGCTCTGAGAGCAGCCTTTAAAGCCGAAACCACAGCAGGCCGAGGTGTTGAGCAGAAGCAGGAAGACGACGGTTGGCCTCATCTTTGCTTAACGGCTACGTTTCGCACCAACGTCAGTCCAAAGACATCTAAAAATATGATATGATTAAGGGAAGTCAAAACGCAGTCTCACAAAGCGGGTAGACTTATATATAATTATATATATATATATATATATATATATATATATATATATATATATATTGGAAATACAAATTCATGAATTGTCATTTGAATCGTTTTCTTAATAAAATCCACTCCACAAAAATGCTGTAGCAATCATTCGTTAATAAGATTTATTACATGATTATTTTGATCCAATAAATCTTTGTGCCCTCCATAATTTCATTGTGGAAAACAATTACATTTTAATATTTTTAAATATTTGTGACAGCTCAGAACAGAAGTAAGCGTCAAAGCGCTTTGTTCCTCTTTGTGCAGCATTTCTTCCTTTCAGTGTTACTTATTCTGTCCAACTCTGCAGCTTCATGCAACAAATGTATTTATTTAAATTCACTTTAGTCCAAATTGTCGTATTCTGACAGCGTGATCAAACCATGATATTAATAACACTTCAGCACTTACCATTTAATGGTCCTCTCCGTAGCCTTCCTTTCTGCAACTGCACTTCCTATTTTAACTTCTTTAATATGATGATTTCTTGGGGAAGGATTTCTCCACATGAGGGAGCTGTCTGCTGGGATTGTTTGTGACGCGACTACAATACTTTCCATGTCTGAAATATCGGAGTTGGCTGATAAAAAAACTGCCAAATGTATAATCATTTTAAATGCAGTGGAACTGCTCCATGTGATGCTTTTCTAACATGCCCTCACGTTGTGCAGATATCGTATATTATAAAATAAACTCAGGTTATTTGCCCGAATGACAGATTGTGTTTTACTGAACGTATCCGGTCTGAGCTCTCCTGGTCAAGGCAGCTGACCTTTGCCGCGGTGTCTTGGGTGTGGCGGCGGTGACGGGGGGGGCCAGCGGACGGGCGGCAGCAGCGTCCGATGCCCCCCTCCCCCCCCCCCCCCCCCCGGAGGCGACATGTCGTCCAGGTGCCCCGACGGCCCTGACCTTTGCAGGAGGGCATGCTTGATCCACGAGGAGAGGCACAGGTGACCCCGCGGATGGCGGTTTAGCTTAAGGAGCTGCTTCACCTTTAGCACATCCACCCGACGGTGTCAGGACAGATGCAAAGGGCGCAGCCACTGCCAGCCTCTTTTAGACTTTAAACGATAGCGATGATGGCATTTCGCCTCATGACCAATTTATGTTCAAACGATTTATTTCGTTTTATTACCTGTTTTCCACTTTTGATGGTGAGAAAAAACGACTCTTTCTCAGTCAGTTTATTCAGAGAAATACAGTGTGTATAATGCAATTTATTGTCATCAAGTGAAATGATGCAGTCCAACATGATATCATCCATATAAAGCATTTTACCCTTCAAAACGTTTTACTTACATTTATTATAGTTACAATATTTACAAATCCAAAGACGTTTGTCTCTCAACATGTTTAATCAACGTAAATGTCAAGTGCTGATGTTACAATTTAAAGTATTTCTTTCCAGAGAATCTTGGAACAATCGATGTCCGTAGTGCATTTGTAAGACTTTTTTTCTTTGTTCATTCATTTCCCGTTTGTATCATAAGGTGCAAAATGTTTGAGGTTAAACTGGGCATAAAACCCGGCAGTGTAAGTCGACAGCGTGCCGGTAGTGACGGAGACGGCTGTGTTTGAACAACCGCATGGACTCAGTCACGTTTACAGTCAGGTGAGCAGAAGTTTAATTGTCCGTAACCGCCTGAGGGCTCGGAGGACGCCGGCCCTCGACCCGCTGCGCGGACGGCGTTCTCTTTGGGGTCCTGCCGGAGGAAGGGACGTCGGCGAAAACCACCGTTCGCCCGTCCGCGCCGAGCAGGACGCTGGAGTCGGCCTCGCACTTGGTGGTCCTGCTCGGCCACAAGGTAGAGAGGACCTCCGCGTTGGCCACCGACGACTGACCCATCTTGATCAGCACGTCCAACGACTGCTTGCGACTCTCCAGCGAAGCCTTCGACGCGTTCCGGTCGCCCTCGCTCTCTTCTTCTTCCTCCTGCCGCTCCTCCTCGTCCTCGTCCTCGCCCTCCGTCTCCGTCGTGTCGCCTTTAGGGCCGCCGTCCTCTCTCCTGCCACGGTCGCCCAGCGAATCCGCCGAGTCCCTTTTAACCGACAGGTCGAGAGGGCCGTCGCTCTGGCGGGCCGTCCGCTCCAGCGCCTGGTGGATGTGGGAGAGCTCACTGCGGATTTTGCCCAGGTGCTCCCACAGGTGGCGCTGGGCCGGAAGGTCTTCTTTCTCCAGGTGGGAGATCTTGCCCTCGGCCTCCTGGTACTCCTGCAAGGCCTTGGAGAGGTCGCTGAGGAGGGCGGCCACTGACTCCGAAGTTCCCTCCCCGGCCGCCCGGGCGGCGCCGTTGGTTCCCCCGCTGTTGGAGGGAGAGGACGCTTCGCTGTTGGGGCTGGCGGGAAGGTCGTTGTGCCACAGATCCGAGGGACGGGGCGGAAGCCGAGCGTCCTGTAAGCTGAGAACAGGAGACATTTATGAACATTTGAGGCTTCGGTATGACAGAATGTGATCCCTCTACTAGCCTCGTTTTACCGCTACAAAAAAACAACACCTACCTTCTGTGGAAGAGAAGTTTATCCGCTGCCGCATTAAGAGTTGGTGCATGCTGAATATTCTTCAGAAGGTCCAAACTGAAGCCTCCCACGGCAAGTTTCTTCTCCACAGGAGCCTCGCGGCTCCCCAGTGGGGCCCCTGTCCTCTTAAGGCCCCAGCTTGCTTTGCCCTCCTTCGCTATACTCTGCGTCTTGTCCCCCACCCTGGTGCCCTGCTCGGGGGAGTCTCTCTGAGGGGACGCCCAGCCAGCGGGGGAGACGGCGGCGGCGGCGGCGGCCCCCGGCCGCAGGGCGGGCACTTTCCACAGATTGACTTTAGGCTGGAAGCCGGACAGGGGATTCGCTTCCGGGCCGCTCGCGGACGCCTTGAGCGCTTTGCCGGCGTCGCCCTGAGCGGACGCCGGCCCGAACGCGTGCTCGCACAGGAAGGGGTAGTACAGGCGAGGGGGGATGAGAGCTCTGTCGGCGTGGGCGCCGGACGCCGGGTGCATCAGCTGAGCGGCCGACGCCAGGAAGGGAAGCTGGGCGAGCTGTGCGTGGGTCTGGGCGCTGACGGCGGCGGCGGCGGCGGGAATGGCTGAGTTCATGTAGGAGAAGAGGCCGGGGCTGATGGGGTAGCCCACCCCGAGCACCGACAGGTTGAGTCCAGTGGGATCCTGGTAGTCCACCAGGTTTGGCGGAGGAGGGTAACAAGGGATGGAGCCGCTCACCCGGGGCGGAGCACCTTCCGCTTTGGCCTTGGGGTGGCCGGACGCCAGCAGACGCCACTGCTCCGACAGCAGGGCGGGGGCCGTCAGGTACGTCTTAGAAAGCTTGTAGTGTTTCAGCTGGGCCTCCACCTCTACTGAGCGCGCTCGTAGAAGCTGGTCTTCCAGCGAGAACATGTCCGCCATCAGGAACTCGGACTCGGACTGTTTGATTTTCCCGGAAGCGCACTCGGCGGCGGCGGCGGCGCCGCCTCTGCCGTGGTCACCGGAGGTCTCTTCTGTCAGCCCGCTGACCTCCGGCCCCTCCGCCCGTCCTCCCTCTTCTTCATCTTCTGCTCCCCGGACTCTCCCGTCTTCGCCATCCTCCTCAACGAACCCTCGCTGTCGCTGGCCGTCCTCGGCCCGCTGTTCCAGCTGTTCGCGTCCGTCCCTCCCGGTGGCCGGACGTCCGTTCGCCGGCTGGAAGGCTCGCAGCTGCTCCGGGTGCAGCAGGTTGCCCTTCTTATACGGCCAGTCTGACTCTATCAGCAGGGAAAGGGAGTTCTTGCACAGGCTGTACTTCATGTGGTTGTACAGGTGGGACTTCTCCATGCAGGTGAAGGGGCACTGGAAGCATTTGTAGTTGTAGGGTTTGCCCCACGGCCGGGGAATGTAGTGCGGCTTCTTGGGCTTTCGCTCCTTGTGTTTGCTGGCGGACGTCACTTTACACGCGTCGCCCTTGGACATGGCCGAGTCTTTATTTATGAAGATCTCGCGATTGTATTTAAATGATGACGACTCAAGATATATTTTTATGTTGTGTGTCTTTTCTGGGTTAATTTCCTTTTTTGTTTGGTAAGGTTGATCAAAAGGAGCAATTATTGTACCTGTGAACACACAAGAGAGTTCTGCATGAGTGAAGGTGATACGGTTTACACACAGTAAATGTATTCAAATAATAAAGTTGTGTGTGCACATATGTGTGTTAGATCACGATTGGCTTCCTAAGCTGAGGGTTGCCACTAACCTAACTGGGGGGGGGGCACACTCTATTCTCACTGTACCTGCCACTACTCATTAGTTCCGGTGCAGCAGCAGGCGCTGGCCGGGTCCGGGGGGCAAACATGGCCGCCACGGGGGACTACGCACCTGTGAAGGGGGGGGGGGGGGGGGGCCTCACAACACTAACAGGCCTCCTCGAACCGAGGGCCTGACCCCTCGGAGGCCGGCTACAGGGGCGGCGTGGACGGGCCGGGGCGGCGCAGGTACGCGGCGGCGAGGAGTCGGGGGTTTGAGGCCCCGGTTGCTAATGAGAGCCCGGCGCCGTGCCTGCTGGGCGTCATTAGCGCCGTGAACGGGATCTGGGTCAGGACGCGCCGCATAAGTTCAAATGCTCTCCTCGACTGTGACTCTGTATTTAGAAACGTGTCACACGATTGATGAATAAGCAGGAGAATGCTTTATTGGGTTGATTTTGCTGACGTGTTAATTTATCTTTAACAGGATTAAATAGTTTCTTCCCTCAATCTATAGCTTGAATAGTTGAAGTTAATATATTTGAAGAGAGATGCTATTTGCACCTTCACCATTTATGGTAAAAAGATTCTTTTTCAGTTTTTTTATTCCCATCATTTTGCATCATCCATTAGCATTAACTTAATTAATATCCCAAGCTTTTCAATTTCCTTCAAAAAATGTAAACACCTACAAGTAAATGTTTTTTCTTTTTTCATCTGTTAAAATACAGAAACTTTGTGATCTTTTTATTCTTTGAGCCAGGCCGACGGGTGGAGCCTGCGGGGAAAGCAGACGCGAGGAGGAGTGTGCTCCTCGACTTAAAACACTTTTTGTTTTGTCTTTTTTCCCTCCAGGTCATTTAAAGATGAAAGTCTGTGTGACGCTGAAGAAAAGATGAACTTCGCCATTCTTTTTCTGTCTGGCGCAGACGGCCCACGACAGAGTTTTGCTATATATATATATATATACTTATATATATATATATATACAGTATATAAGGGCCGGTGAAGTGACCACCGGATGGATGGATGGGCGGTAACACGGACAGACAGCGGACCAGCTCATCTATAAAAGCCGCAGCACGAAGGCTGACGATGAAAGATGCGCTGAGTCTAACGCAGCGTGGCAGGCCGCTTCCAAACCGCCCTCCCAATTGGACCCTGAGAATTGGCCCGTTTTGCGGCCGCCCGTTTGATTGGCTGGCGTGTCCGCCTCGGGGCTCTGACCTGAGCTTTGAGCTCATAATGGAACCTAACAGCTGCTGCAACGAGCCAATCAATAAAAATCATTTTTACAGTATTTTTTTCTCTCTTCTGGCCACCGAGATCCGCTCGCCTCTCCCCTGAATGTGCACTTTGGCCCCCCGCCGCCCCGTATCCAAACCCTGCGGTCTTGTTTTAAGCTTTTAGGGCCGATGATCAAACAGGCCCAACCGCTTGAACATCTATTGTTCCAATTAAAGGAGGTTCACCACACTAAAAGCTTTGACAAGTTACAAGCAACAACAACCAGGTCACGAGCAGGCGATGGGACGGGCCGTTGGTACAGAAATGCACACAACAACAACAACAACGTTTATGATTAGAATAATTACCTTTTCAGTATGAAGAGTTGGTTGTCTGCAAAATAACAAATAGGTTGTAAATAAATTGTCTTTAGTAATTTTTTTCTCTCTGGCAAGTTTTTACTAAATTCCCAACAAAACACCAACAAAAAATGAATTATTCTACAAACAAAATAAAAATATTGTAATTATTGATAGATTATCATTTTAAATTATTTACAGCTGATCAAATTTGACGGAACACATCAGATGACGCTGTACGCTTTACTTGGTTTTAGGAATTACAGAATAATCACATTTAATAGTGCTAAATTGCATGTATGAAATTACTCCAAATGCAGTGTGTATTTAACTTCAAAAGACCAAATATAAATTTGTATTTATTTATTTAAATATAAATATATTTATCCTCAAATTCACCACATTCAGCTTTAGAAATTAACAATCAAATTGCAGTTAAAATAAAACCTTTTTTTTTAAAATGTATAACATAAAAGCATTATCTCAAGGTGTGCAAAAGCACAACTTGCATGATCTCCTTAAGCTCCTTCTCAAATAATTCTAACTTACTCCGAACAAACTCACCTGCCTGCATGCCACCAGCTACTTGGCCGCGTAGAACAAGCGTTCATCCGTACCTGCACGGCGTCCCTGTGTGGCTGGCTGTCACTCCTCTGCAGCGGCACTGAGAGGGCAACGCGTCCCGCTCAAATAGGAGCGCAGCAGCCAGTGTGGATGTATATATATTGACTGGGAGCATTGCCCGCAGGCACTACAATACAGCAGAATCCCCCCTCCTCCCCCTACTCCCCCTCACGGCCGTCCCTCTTCTCCCTCTCTCCCCCCTGAATTGTCAAATGTGGTCTCTACCTCGCAGCCGAGATGCAGTATAACAACTTGCACTATGTTGGCGAAGGTTAGGTGCTCGGTTTTTAAAACAGAATGTGGACGTTTTTCTGGGTTGAATCCTTGTTGTGTGTTTCTGCTTTGCTCTGAATACTGAAGACATTAAGAATTGAATTACTCACATGCTGTGTTTGTCTGATTATTGGCAGCATTAAGGTGAGGAACAGAAATAACGAATCAAAAAATATATAAATACATTTATATAAAAGAGTGTGGAGGAAACAGCAAAGATCAGAGGTGGGAAGCTTTTGAACGTGAATTTAAATCTCGTCAAAGCAAATGGTTCCATGAGGAAAAATAAATGAATATCTCTCAACCGGATGATTTCCAGTGGTAAAATAATGACTCGTACAAATTGTTGGAAGAAAAAAAAATCAGAATGCATCTCTTGATTCTGCAGAATTTAAACTCAATGTGTACAGACTATTCTTTATTTTGCGTTTCCAATTTTACTCACTGCATCTTTTTCTTTGGCATTGCGTTCAAACAATGAGATCTGAGCTGCTGTATCTGCTCTCCGTCCTGCGACTGCATGTCTCTCTCTAGGACTGTCCTGCGCTGTGTGTGTGTGTGTGTGTGGGGGGGGGCTTGTGTGTGCAGGCAGCCGGGTGTTGAGCTGAATCCCTCAGAAGGAAACGATCAGCGCAGTGGTCCCGGGCCCCGGATGGCTTACTGATCTTCTCAAAGATCGGCCTCCCTTCCCCTGACCTCTGCTTCGTTTTTGTCCTCCTCTGCTATCCACTCGCCTCCCGCTAACGCCTCGCCTCCTGCCCCCTTCCTCCCTTCTTTTCTCCTACGCTCCCTTCCCCTAAACTGAACCCCTGACCACCATCCCCAGGAGCTCTTCTTCTCTCTTGGGTCGACTCCAGGTTCCTCATCGCTCTCCTCCGGGCCGGGTGAAGCGTCTCTGAGAAATGTCAGCCTCCGTGTGCTGGGAAAGTCGGTGGTGAACGTCAGGAGCCATCAGAGCCGCTGTCACGGCGAGGAGGCCAAATGGGGAGTGACAGGCCGCCTCATAGAGCCTAACCATCTGTACCAAATGTGACAATGGGGAAGAGAGGACGTCTGTTAAATCGGGAGGAACGACAGCGGCAGAGGAGAGAGAGAGAGAGAGAGACAAGGCTACACGGGAGAGGACGTCTGCTATTTGATCGTCTTCTTCCAACTGCAGAGACACCTGAGAGACAATGTCCCTCTCTCCTGTCAAGCGCACGAGTGCCAAGTGAGGACGTAGGAGGCACATCGGACAAACGCTTCAGCCTGCATTAAGTTGCGTTTAATACTTTCCACCCAATTTCCCCAAAAAAGGGATTCTCATGGTTCAAACCCAGACGTCATTGTTGGGAGAAAGTAGGAGCGCGAAGGAGCGGCGACTGCGAAAAAGTCTCCTGGCGAGTGAGGGGAGTCGAGCGGCCTTATGGAGCGGCATCTGGGGCGGCTGACAGCAGCACTCCATTAGCACTCAGAGGAAGGAACCCGGGGGCCGCGACAACACGGCTAGCAGGGAGATCCAGCTGTGCAGATGCCGCCGAACCCGCACACAGACACACAAACACACCCGAGCAAATTAAGACGGAACGCACGGGCACGAGCGCGAGCGCGCGGCGGCCGCCGTGAAAGATGAACCGCGCGGAGCAACGGAAAGACAGGCGGGTTGGGAGGGTGGACGACCTCCAGCCCGGGCGAGTCTTCCCGCTGCCCGAGTTTTAGGCCTGAGGTGGAATAGCTAACAGCTCCTCTCTTAGTCTGTGCTGCTGGGTACATAAACTAAACTCATTTCGCTTTCACCCACTTTCAATTTTTCCCCACCCCCCCCCCCCCCCCCCTCCCCCCATTTTCCTTCCCCTTCCTCCCACTTTCAAAGGAGAACAACTCCAGGAGCCATTCCAAGCCACACCGACGAAACAACCTCAACTCCTCTGGTTTTCCTCAGCACCAAGTGTGTTTAATGCCTTCAAATTAACATTAACGTCTCAATGATTTTCTTCATCCCGCTAAGAGCTGTCTTTCATCATGTTTGAAATATTATAGCACACACAGACTGCAGTTGTCCCCGAGTGTTTTTCTGCTCAAGGACACTTCAGCAGAGGATCTTCAGTGTGCAAAATCCGGGTTTCAGGGTTTTCTGTGCAAACTATACAAACATCGTCCTTTCAGTTTTCTTTGACATTATAATGTTTTCCTGAAGCAGAACCCAACATTTGTAAAGGGGTGTCTGAAACATCTGGAAAATACTCTTGTGTTAGATGAGCAGATGGGTGCCGGTGGCGTGATTCTGCAGGCGACTAGCTTAGCTTAGCATGAAGACAAAATCCACCAACCAGCACCAATACCGCTCAAAGGTTCTAAAAGTGGTACGTTGTGGTTCTACGTGCAGGTTTTTTCTAAATGGAAAACCAACAAGTGGCAGAAACGTGTGAAAACTCTCGCTGCGCCGCGACACTAAACCAATCAAACGTCTAAACTGGGTCTCTGCTGGTTGCCTGGCAACCGCCTTCCGATTACCAGGCTCAATAAATACACTTCTACCGCACATCACCAACGTGTCTTTAAGGAAGCATTGAGTCCTGGACAGAACCAGGCCGGCTGTACCCAGATGTTTTCTGTATTTGTGCTAAGCTAAGCTAACAGAATGAAGAGGCTTGGTACGAATCTTCTCATTTACTCTTGGCAAGAAAGTGGACAAGCATCATTTCCAAAACTGTTCCGCTTAAAGGTCATCGATGTCTTTGAAGTTACCAGAGTCACGCTCCACATTCAAAAGTGCCGACAAGACAGACGTGTGTCCTTTCCCAGAGGCGAACTGCCGCGGTATGTGTCAGGGAACAGCGCTGCGAGCACACAATGAGACATTTTCAGCTTCACACTTAAATGAACACGCAATTATACATCAGAGGGCCGGATGAACACTGGCTCCTTTCCAAGGTGGAAACGCGGCCGTCGATGTGAGCTGGGCTCATATCTGAGAAGGGCAGATGCCAGAGTTCAGTCCCGACTCGACATGTGACTCGCCGGACTCAGAGAAGGGCTGCTTGTTGCTACTCCTTTGGAATGCTTAGCATTCACTCTGTATTACATTTATATCTATGTAGATCTGTGAGTAAATAGAGTTCCCACCATGCCGTAGGGTCACTGACAGGAAACAGCTGCCGCCTCGGCCGCCCGCTTCTCCGCCCCGTCGTCTCCTTCTCCGTCCCTCCCGTTTTCACCCGGCTGCCCCCGAACGATCCCGCGGGGGCGGCGGGGGGGGGGGGGGGCTCTCTCACCCAAGCACCTGGGGGTGGCACCTGAAGGGGGAAAAGCAAGTGGAAACGAAAGGAAGCAGCCGAGTCTGTCAGAGCGCATCAAGGCCGCTGTCCATCAACGCTGCTGACCTTCGGGGTGTGTGTGTGTGTGTGTGTGAGTCTATCAACAACTGAACCAGTGTGTGTGTGTGTGTGTGTGTGTTAAGTCACTGACCCACGAGGGGTTTATGTGAGTGTGTGCATATGTTTGTTCATCAATGCAGGATGTGTGAGACCATGTGTGTACATTAGCGCCTTGGTCCCAGTGAGTGAGCGTGTCCGCTAACACACAGACCTTAAGGGTGTGTGTGTCTGAGTGTGTGTGTAACTGTCTGTCTCAGTGCAGTGATCTGTGTGCGATAGCTGCAGTAGCTGGTAGGTCACTGACAGAAGCACATCTCCTGACTCGTACTCGCTAAATTCCCAGAGAAGAGAGTATCATTTACGCCTTAAAACGATTAAAAACCGGAGCGCTTACGCACGGCAAGCGTCCATATGTGTCGGGACCAGCATGTCCTCTTGCCGGGACCGGGGCTTCTATTCCCTCAGCAACAGGGCTCGCACTCTGGGGACCAGGGGACAAGATGATGGTGTCAGTCAGTTTCCCAGCTGCAGCCTCCTCCCCCCTCCTCCTCCTCCCATGTACGTCCCAAAGCCAGTGGCCCCTCGCCTCCCCCCCCACTCGCCCCCTTCACATCTCCGGGTTTGACTGAGGATGGGTGTGGGGGCGAGGGCGGCAGCAGGGGGAGAGGGAGAGCGAGAGAGAGCGAGAGGCTCCTGGAGGACGGCTGTTCGGCTCCGGCTTGTCCAAGCGGCAGGAATTGAGGGAGACAGGGACCGAAGCCCGTCAGCTCCGTCCCTCAGGGGGCCTCGGCCTCCCAACTACAAGTCCGTGTTTTAGCGAACCATATGTTCACCCTCTGCCCGACCCGACCCCACCCAGTTAGCAAATAAACAAGTCGGGAAGCCGTAGCTGGAGGGAAGCCGAGTTCCTCCTCTCGCGTGCGTCTCGTCTGGAGCCGCGATACGCGGCGGATGGTGACGGAGGACGTGTGACAGCTTTCTGCGAAGGGCCTTCTAGTTTGGAGCCACTTCCTCTGTGTTTTTTAAAGAAGGTTGTGTCATTTTTGTAAAAAGGTTTTTTGAAAATTCAACCCAGCTCATCTGAGGATGTTTTACCTCGAGGGTTCTTCCCCTTGTGTGCGGTGCTTTTAATGTTTACGTGTCAGGTAGAAAGTAAGAATGAGGTATCGTTCGGTTAAGTCTCTTAAATGTCCACTGTTGGTATCAAAAATTTTAATCTCATTGCCGAAAGTGTCTTATTAGTGGCATTTTCATACTAAGACTAAGAGTGACTAATAGTGACTACGGCATGCAGATCAACCTTCTGTATATTGCAGCTAAAACAAATAAACATTTATTCAACATAAAAACGTCTAAAATGTTGATCTATTTCACCCAAACCTGGTCCTACCCAAGCAGATCGTTTGGTATTCCTGAGTAGAAGAATAATCTTTTAAATTGACAAACATCCCACTCAAGTAACTCATTGCCCGATTCCAGTGGGATATAATCTCTCTTGGTTAA